AAGTATGAACGCGTTCAAGAACAGACTAGATAAAGCTATGGAAAAATATATGTTCAGATTTGAAATGCCTAGCTCCTTATCGAACCCGGTGGAAGTCTAGTAGCTTCTTCAAACTATCGCCAGTCATGAAAAGATCCGGTCAAATGACACGAGTTTAGATTCTATGAACAAGGCACGAAATGGAAAAGAATCGGCGACAGGCCACATCAGGCCTACACTTCAGAGCCGACATCACTATGTTATGTTATGTTAAGTGTCCTTCAGCATGAATGGACTGCCCGGTAACTAACCCGATCACTGAACCTGGAAAATTATCTAAATTTTTATCACATCTCTATAAAGGTCTGAGGATCGTCCCGTTTTGTCTCGAAAAAGGACATGCAAAAAGTAAATGCTTGCCCAATCGCCTCTCGTAGGTGCAAGCCGATGTCTACCCACGTGGATCTTGCATTCTCACTGTTCCGTATAGAACATTGTGGTCCAACGGTTACAGTCTTGAGTACCAAGATCAGAGCGGTCAGTTGTGGGCTCGATCAGAGCTACCTGGCGCAATTCTCGTCCAAATCGGTTAGGCGAGCTGGCGGTTAAACAGCAAAATTGGAGCAGTGAGCTGCATGTTCAAGCTGTGCTTCAAGCTGAGACCCACAATAAGCTGTGAAAATTCCGCAATGTTCAGAATCAATGACAGCTCTAATAGCCTAGTCAATGCTGTCAGTAATGTATATTCATGGCCTCCTTCGTAAACTCTTACCATTTTTTCATACGGGAGCTTTGAGTGCAGATCGGGAAAAACTGCAGTCATAAAAGAGTTTTTTCTTCATATTATTTTATGATCTTAAACTCTTGCTCAATCTCGACCCGAAGCCACATGTTTTGCATGACTGTATTACGCATCTACTTTACACTCTTCCTAGCTAACTTCCCTCGTAATGCATGGAAGTTCTGGAACTTGAATGGAGGATGTTCTTGTGGACATGTTTGCCAATTGTTAAAAATCAAATGTTAATGGCTATAATTGTTTTCAATTGTCAAACATAATGGGTATATAGGTAAAGTATTAGGTATAATTTATGTGGGATAACGTGTTGCTAAAAAAATCATTTTTATTCCTATCTTGCAATCATTTAGAGTCGCAATTAATCTTATTGGTGCCTCTAATTTCTAATATATAAATCAAGGCGAGCTTCGATGGTTTTGTAATAAATGAAATGATTGGACTCTTTTTAAAAGTTTATTGCGAGGATCACCGTACAAATTCCGAGACATCTTCACTGGCTTTGCTGAAACCTCACGATGATGGATCGAAATCAGTTTGCATCTCGAACAAGAATGATAACGTAACGATTCGCCATTCAATTTGGACGGTTATCAACAATTAGGATTAGCTGAACATCGGCTAAGATCTAAGTTATAAGATTACTTTTAATTAAAAATGAGAAACACATTAAGGAAATGAAGCATTGAAAATTAATCAAACGAATAAGTTTCAAATCAAATTTGGATACTGCATGACGAAGGTGTAGTCAAACAGCCACAATGTCTGATTCATGTAACCCCGCGGTATATTTTGCATTTGTGCTTACGTATGAAGTAGTTACGTTTACTGAGATTAGCTAATCTCAGGACCAATAAAATTATGCCAACAGGCGATAACATTTAATTTTAAGTACCCCCTGGCAATATTAGTCCAGAAGGTATCTCAAGGAACCGATCTTTCATTAGCTTTCAGAGTTGTAGAAGATATTATTCATATTTTCATATTTGATGTTAACTAATAGACTATTCCATGAATTCACACGAGAAGTGAGTTTGTTTAGATAAAAAAACTTCAAATTTAACCGTTCTCCCTCGTTTCTTTCATTATATAATTTCGACTACTGTAAAAGGGGGCAGCGGGCCAGCCCTCTGCCCCGTTATTTCTAGTTATTTCTAATAAATAATGTATGATGTGAATTAGACGCCTACAGATTTATTCAATTTTAAAGGAAAAACTATTTTCATTGATAAACTATTTTCTAAAAAGAGTCCAAATGGGCTACATGCTTCAACCCTGGGGCAATGCATGGGCTCATGGTCTTAGGGCAAGGTGCCCACCCCCCCCCCACCCGGGCCATTTACCCCGATAGCCTTTATTTTCATTTAAAAAATAGTAAAACAACATGTAATAGCTCAATATAACGAAAACGCAATAAAAATATTCCATTCATTCATTTATTAACCAGTTGAAAAAATATATCCTTAACTTGAAAAAATATATTCTTGGCTTAAAAAATCTTCCACTGACGCTAAAAAACATTCCTTTGACATGAAAATGTACATCCTTGACATTAAAAAATATATCGTTACCTAGGAAAAAATATGTACAAGTGACCAGGAGAAACATCAAGTTTAGAAAACAACTAATTCCGTGAAAATCATATAGTTCATCCAGTTGCTTGTGAAATTTATTTATTTATTTTGGTGATCCTATTCGCTATCACAGTTCCGACAAATACACCTCCTACCATCATTTGCACACTCTTGATGAGCCCATTTTCAGCACGCCATTCATCGGGCCCATTTTCCCTGAAAAAAATTTACAACAGGTTCCCCTCATACCAAGCATGGCCATTCATCATCTTCTGAAATCTCCCTTATATCGAACTGGATTCGGCGACTGCCGAGTGCATATACAGTATGCTCTTAACTTCTTTTTGATTTACTTTTAGATCGCACTCTATTTTCTAAGACAATTTTTGACTTTTTGACGGTGTTGAAGTAAGGTAAGTTGTCTTTTCTCATTTCTGAGCCCATGTTCCTTTATTTGATATTTATTTTATATTTCTGCGGCCTTCAGCGAATAGCCGCTCTTAAATTCCTTCAAGACATTCTGGAGTTCAATTTGATAATAGTTGGTTTTATTGGTATTCCTTCTATTACAGTTTCGCTCTTTGTTGTAATTGCAAAAGAGAGATATGGAAAAATCGTTCGATTCAAATATAATTTGGAAATTAATTCTAAATTATAATTGATGAAAATAAAAAAATAAAAAGCTAGTCGTAGTTTTGAAGACATAATTGAGACAAATCTAATAATATATAACACAAGACTTCACAGAGGGGTAATGAGCCCACCATGGGCCCATTGCCCCACTAGGTGCTATTTCAAGTTACCTCGTGTCAATATTTCATTCCAAAAACTAATGGTCTCAATTTGAATTCAAATTATCCCAATAAATAATACCTTCAAAATATAATTCAAAGTACTCTGAAAAGATATTTTTACAGTTCTATTTAGCAGAAAAAAATTTATTTGGTCTAAAACAGTTATTTACATGCAACTTACCGACAAAAACTCTCAGCACAACGTACAGCTGCACTCTGCAACCCAGTGAAACTGTCGACCGGCGGTGGAGCGCACGGACCAATATCTGCCATGCCTAGCGGGAAACCCGCTATGGGTCCATGTCCCTCTGCGGGCCCGTTTTCCCTTGTTACCCTACGACATTTAGACTGCCGATCTCTTCCAATTTTCTTGATCAACAAGTTTATGCCAATGACAAATAATTATATTAAACTTCGCAGGTATGCATTTATATTGATGATATATAATACATGTAACTTCCCTGC